ATGGGGTACTGGATCTCCACCTGCAAATGTTTCCATTCCCACTCCCCCTATCCCAGTCAATGTCAGCTGTGAGTTGGATTATGTCACTAGCTACATGTGTATATAATGGTGTCGGTTTGCCTCTAGTGCCGGCTCCAGAAGTGTCTCTGAGTGTTCCCAGTGGTCCACTGTACCAGGGAACCTCCCTAACACTCTCCTGCACTGCCACTCTACCTCCCTCGGTGGACACCAATGTCAGTGTCACTATTCAGTGGACACCCAACACCACAGACAACAGAGTCACCATAATCCCTGCCTCTAGTCTGCAGTCTCCATTCATCTCCACTCTCACTATCAGTCCTCTGGCAATGGCTGATACTGGGAACTTCTACTGTGTGGCGTCTGCTGATTCTCCCTCAGAATACATCACCTCCAGTGGCAAAGGAGAACCTGATCAGGAGACAGTAACTGTGACTGGTGTGTTACTCCCTAGTACTCTACTATCAAATTACATTACTATTCCCTCATTTTCAGCTCTTCCTGCTCCAATTGTGTCCATCAGTTTCACTGGAGACCCTACAGCAGGCAGCGAGAACTATACCATTTCCTGTTCAGCTGAAGTAGTGCCTGGTCTGGTGGTAGAGCCTGACTTGAACATTGTGATCCTCAACTCAACTCTCGCATCAGTCAGCAACAACAATGTATTGCAGCATACCTTCTCTCCTCTGAGAACGTCAGATGGAGGCAGCTACACCTGTACTGCCATTGTCAACATCCCTGGTGCCGGGGTTACCGCTCTAACTGCCTCCACTGTGGAGAATATCACAGTGAAAAGTTAGTTTATCATTCCATGTTTCCAAAACTCCATCTTTCTCTCTCTCCCTCCATTCAGTCCCAACACCTGATGTGACATTCACTCGTAGACCAAATGGCACACTTTATTCCGGAACATTCTTCACCCTCGTATGTGTGGTGGACCTTGGACCTAGTGTAAACTCCCCTCTATCTGTCTCCACTAACTGGACCAAGGATGGCAGTGTGATTGCTAGTGATGGGGGTCGTATCACTGCACACACTGAGACGTTGAGGACCTCTATCATTGGCAAATATGAGAGCAATGTCACATTCAACCCTCTGAGTAAAACTGACTCAGGGAACTACAGTTGCTCTGTTGAAGTGAAGGATGCAGAATTCATAACTGGCACTACAGCTAGGGTGGTGTAGGAGAGAGTATAGAAGTTAAAGGTCAGTCAGCTACCCCATCACTGGTTGAGTGTATACATCCTCCATGTGCCTCTCTTCGCACAGACCTGAAGCCTCCAGTAGTGGGGGTTGGTGCTGAAGGGGTGCCCACTGCAGGAGGTGACTATTCTCTGGTGTGTACACTGGAGACAGAGGAGGGAGTGGGGTCAGAGGACATCTCCATCATCTGGACCACACCCAGTGGAGAGATGAAGATGGCCGAAGATGTCAGCAATAGCGGCACCATCGGGAAACTCAACTTCAGTCCGCTGAACACCTCTGACAGAGGAGATTACATCTGTACTGGGAGAGTACTCGTAGACTCAGTGATGGTTAACGTCAGTGCTAATTCGGTCTGGATATTAATGTCACTAGTGAGTCCGTATTCTACATATACACCCATCTCACACCACCCTCTATCTCTCAGTCCCAGCACCCAGGGTGTCAGTTGGGACTAATGCTGGTGATGAAGGACCGTACTACCGAGGAACACAGCTAGACATCATCTGCTCCATCTCTGTCGATGCTTCCGTCAACACTCTGTTTTATGTGAATATCACCTGGACCAGGGATTCCAAGAGTGTAATGAGTGATCCAAACATCACCATCTCTCGGGCCAATACATCTAGACTGGAGTTCACTAGTACATTGGCTATTAGTCCATTGGACACCTCAGATTCTGCCTTCTATACATGTACTGCTAGTGTATTCCCCACTGATGGTGAGGGAGTACTAGCCAGCAATGGGGCTACTGCCTCAGTCAACGTCAGTGTAGAAGGTAAGTCAGTCTTTATTGTTACTCCACCTTACATAATATCTTCTGTTCCCCAGAGCCTCTTGCACCAAATGTTACAAGAGCTAAGATTGTGTCTAAAGCTGGCAAACCTTTCTCGACGGAATGTAACTTCACAGCACCCCTCAATCTGGTGACTCCGCCATCTGTGGAGTGGCTGAATTCATCTGGGGACCTGGTCTCCAGTAACAAGACCCTCTCATTTCCTCTGCTAAAGACGTCAGATGGAGGGGCGTATACCTGCAGAGTCAACTTCTCAATACCTTCTCTGGGTATATCTGAGAGTGGCAATGGAACTACTCGTCTCATAGTTCAGAGTAAGCCATGCATGTGTGGTAGTACAAACACTCATACATTACGTCACCTTTTCTAAACCTACAGTTCCAGCTCCAACAATCACTGCTTTGAATGACTATACCCCATACAATGGGACGAAGTTCAATATGACATGTACTGTGGAGGTGGAATGTGGCTGTGGATACTCCCATCACTATTCACAGTGAATGGGTGCTACCTCAGCACGTGGACAATAGTGGCACCATATCCAACATATCGAAGACAGAAACAAAGAAGTTAAGACAGAATCACACTCTAATATTCAGGCCACTTCGTGGAGAGGACAATGGGACGTATACTTGCAGAGGAAGAGTCCAGCCAACGCGTGGAGATAAATATATTATGGAGGTTTCGGCTAATGAGACAACTGATGTCATTGTTCAAGGTACTGACTGAAGAGGTGCTCAGTCAGACACACATGTCCTCTCTCTCTCTCTTGGTGCAGGTCTTCCAAAGCCCACTGTCAGGATTACCCTCAGCTCCTCCGCTGGCTCAGGGACCCAGGAATGTCTGGGTGTGGACTTCGGCGGCCAACAGGCTAACAATATCTCCTGCCTGGCTGGCGTCACCAATAGTTTGCTGAACCCCCACACAGTGACACTGATGGGTGATGGTGGACGTATAAACACCTCAAAGTCTGGCCAGAACATTACAAAAGATCTCCAGCTTTCCTCTGGACCCAGGACCTTCACCTGCAGTGTGTGTATCAATATAGCTGAGGCCAGAATATCGAACTACTGTAGCAGTGAGGACGTGAACGTCAGTGGCAATGGTGAGCATGTATTGGTTTACTCACATACAAATTGTCATCATTCTTTCACAGTACCCGGAGAAATCAGACCAAACTTCATTGTCAACACTCCTGATGCAGTCACCATTAGCTGGGTCGACTCTGCTGAAATATTCTCAATACTGCGCTACATTGTGTTGGTAGAGAGGTATATAGAGGCTGGGCCTGGGAGGGAAAGAACAGAGAAGGTCGAAGGCTACCCTCAAGAGTTGCCGGGAACACTGCAACATCACACTGTGAAGTCTCTGGGTTAGACAGAACTCTACCACTGTATGTAACTGTATTGGTACCAATATATTCCACAGAGAAAGAGACTCCGTATGTCTACACTCTGGTGGCTGGCAACACCGAGGGCTGTGGACCGCAGTCTAGATCCATTTTCTTCACCGAGGAAGGAGGTACATGACCCTGCAATTATTGGCCAGCAAAGCAACCCTATTTTATGGCACTGTCACCATACTCTGTGCACAAGCCACTAAAAATTTGTACTCATGTTTGGTGCATTGAATTTGTTCTAGTGGCTCTAGAATACATTTAACCCTCTCCCCACCACCACTGCCCAGTTCCCAAGGTGCCTCCCCACAATGTGAAGGTGGAGCGGATCAACGGGACAGCAATGATGGTGTCATTTGGCAGACTGAGTTTGGTCGAGGCCAGGAGAGTCAGCATCTACTACTTTGTCTCCTACTCCCCCTCTGGAGGGACGAGGAAGAGGCAGGGGGGAGGGAGAGAGGGTCCCGTGGAGGGGAATACGACGGTTGTGACTGGCCTCAACCCCAGCACCGGGTATGACGTGTCTGTCTTCACTGCCACTGATGAACAGGGGAACAGGCAGCTGACTTCCTCAGAGGAAATGACTGCTCCTCGTCTGCAAACTTCTGAACCATCAGGTACACAAGTAGGCATGTTTGATGCATCGGAAAGGTTTTATTCATGTACCACTGTCCCAGTGATAATCCTCTAAAAAAAGTCACTCGGAATATTATTTTTTAACTGTATTATCTCTCTCTCTGTGTTTGTTATGCAGGTAGTGGTAATGCAGGAGCCATCATTGGTGGAATCGTGGTAGCTCTGTTGGTGGCCATCATTGTAGTGGCCGTCATCCTAGTGGTCCTCTGGATAAAGAGGTTCCTTAATTACCCACTCACTACTTCACTCCTACACCAGTTTGTATGTTGCTATCGCTGCTATTGGCTCTGACCCTGCTTCATTAGCTAATTTGCCGAGGCCCTCCTTCACATGAACTTGAATGTGCTCTTCCCACTGCGCTATTGTGTAAAAATGCTGGTTTTAGCGCTAAAATATTACTGGTGGTGTGAAGCATGACGTGTTCAAATTGAATGCAGGTCAGCAGTCACTGAAAGTGGTGTTATTCACACCTCAACCAACACGGCATATGGGAAGGTGGAACGAGAGCAGGGATATGAACTGGTGGACTTCTCTCACGGAGAACCTCCACCTCCTCCAGCTGAACTGGAGGAGATGTATGAGGTTCCCTCATTCTCTGCCTCGGCCCCCAGCCAGCCCCTCCCTCCCCCTCTTCCAGCTGAACTGGAGGGGATGTATGAGGTTCCCTCATTCTCTGCCTCGGCCTCCAGCCAGACCCTCTCTCCCATCCCTCCCCCTCCTCCAGCTGAACTGGAGGGGATGTATGAGGTTCCCTCATTCTCTGCCTCGGTCCCCAGCGAGCCCCTCTCTCCCATCCCTCCCCCTCCCATCCCTGAAACAGAGGAAGACACTCTTTATGATGCCATTCCTGGAGACCAGTGACTCTTTCTGATCACTATTGGAAAGTGGCGTCGAAAAGTATATATGCGTGCTGAATTTGGTCTTACATTTACTTGTTAGAGATAGTCTTTAGATAGTAGTATAATTATAGATTAGATTTAGATAACTACCTCTGAGGTTGTTTAGATACATTCACAGATGTGTGCTTGTCAATTTGCTGTTTTGCACTTGATCATTATAATCACCGCTTTGTCAAACTGAACTTCCTCCACTTATCCATCTTCTGATAGAAGCACACATCATCTGCATGGGAGAACCAATCACTCCCAGTGCCTACCACTAGCCATGACACCCTAGCCAGATCATCTACGATTATCCTCGAGGCTGCTGGCTATTGAGCACATCATACGCGAATATAAAGAATGTATGGAGGAGGAATAGGAAATCCGAACAAATACACAAATCATGAGCATTTCAGGTATGCGTTAAAAATCGCTATGCACAGAGTAAAGTGCAATATCAGTTTGAGACTATCTAAGTGATGCGATGTTGTTGACAGCTGAGTCTCCTCTGGTCCCTGGTGGAGGTCCACTCTCAGGGCTTTCCCTATGTCTCTTTCTTCTAACTGGCAAGACTTTCCCTATCAGCTCAGCTATGAGGAAGAGGGTCTACGTGGGACTGTATGCTAATGGTGGAGGTTAGTGAATGAGCGAGTAGATCAAGTGTAGCAAAACAAAAAAGCATAGCTAATAAATGAAACACCACTAAAGAGCTCATGCTGTGGGTGAGACTCGAACCCATGCATATGACTGCCTGTAGTCCAGACCGAGTGCTCTTTCTACCATTGAGCTATGATAATAGCTGCGAGGGCAGCTCAGCAGGTAGGGATCTAAGTCAGCTGCAAATAAAATTCAGTGCACAAAAAACAGGCAAGGCCCAAACTCTGTGCTCAATAGCTGTCTATGGAGTAGACCGCAGATAATCAAACAACCATAATTATATAGATGCAACTCCAACTGAAGTAGACGCATGTATTTTGCGATAGCCAAATCCATTTCAGATATTTGGTGTAGGTGACATTTCAATACTTGGAGGTGTGAGAGTGACTGCTGTGGACTCACACCTCAGTTGAGCCAGTCCTCAGTTCACCCTCACCTGTATCTCCACTGGTGGACCTGCTACCACTGTCACTTGGACCAGAGACTCGCACCACTGTCACCCAAGGAACCCAGACTGTGTTGAATGACCCACTGACTGCACAGTACACACACACTCTCACTGGGCATGCTTTAGGAGTGTATGTATGCTCGGTTTCTAACAACAAGCCTTCCTCTCCGGAACATAGGCGGGATGAGTGGCTCTTTCTCATTTTGGCCGGCTTTACTATCTTCACTAGTGATGTTTCTGTCTCTGATAGTTGAAGTCAACTGCAAGTTCTCCCTAGGCTCTAAACTGCAAGTGTGTCTTGTCTGTGTGGGGCTCAGCTACAATGCAGAACTGCACTATTGCAGCTAAAATAATTGCAAAAAACATCATGTTGGTTGAAGAGCAGTAGCTCTGACTAAAGCTCTTTCTCAGTGTTTTCCACTAAAAGGTTGTCATTACTACTTCAAATGTTGATCTAAGCACATCTATGATGTTTCAGTGGTATATTATATGGCCACAGCTGTTGTGGCCGCTATGCCCCTGAAAGGATGTTGTTGATCTATGACCACATGCCTGTGGTGTGTGTTTGGGCAGCTTGTTTGTGTTGTCTTGTGCGTAATTGCTTTGGACTTGCTTTGATATTATTATGTTGTGAATACTGACTCTCAATGTTTCATGTGTTATATGATCAGACTGCTTGACTCTCTGTGTTAGGATGAGACTGCTACTGTTGGTTCTCTGTGTTCTCTACTGGAGTCTGGTCAACTCCCAGACAATAGTCATCAGGAGAAGTCACAATGACACAGTGTACATTGGGACTCAGCTCACTCTGACCGCTCACATCTCTCTCAGTGATGTGAATTCAGTGGACCAGAGGCAATGATGTCATAGCCAATGACTCTCATACCATTGTATCAGTAGTCAGTGCAAGTGTGTATTTTATTTGTGTGGAATACTTCTTTCCAAACTATAAGTGTGTACTATTCATACTGTTTATTGCGGTGGTGTTATTAACCCTCGGCGCGCATGCGTAGCGAGGGTTACAGTAGTTGGTCTGTCTGTATGTGTGTGTGTGTGTGTCGACGCTTATTCTGGCACTACAGGCTACGAGGCGGTCTATTAGCGATACCAGCGGCTTCAGAACTACGCGAGCCTGAAAAAGAAAAGGGCGATTTTCCTGAAACGACTGCGTTCGAGAGATATGCCGTGAAAACAAGCGAAAAAGCCAATTGCATAATAGCACTGGGCTTACCGCGACCTGATCCGCTCGCTCTGTGTACCTTGGGGGCTCAGGAAGTCACAACAAATGCCATGTATCAACTCCCGCATGCTATCTACTACTGTAGCTAGCCCGTGTCAGACTCTCCGCTGGCTACTAGCGCGAGACCGCGAGTACAAATAGCCCAGCCCATCATTAGCAGTATCGCGCATGCGCAGTTCGCCGAGGGTTTGCACTTTCATTTTCAGTTGTAACTGCACACACGTACGCGTACGCAGCAGCAAAGACGACGGTGCGCTTTCTCCGCCAAAGCTCTGCTGATGAACGTGAGTTCTACAAGATAAGGTTGCATGCATCTCCCTGGACAAGGAATATAGAGCTGGTATAAAGCACCACTGGGTAGTGTATTGAGTAGCTCATCAAAGGTCGGACACCATGTATAATCGGACAGGCCTCCAGAGCGTACAATAAATATCATTTAGTTATTCTATATCTAGGATGTAGTGTTGGAAATGTTTGTTGGCGAGTCAATGCCGTCGAAAGGGTCGACTGCCGATATTACGTACGTAACATCTGACGTTTTCATCTACCGACGGACCGCCCTGCAAATCTCCCTTCATCACGAAGCGTTCTGGAATATAACAACATCCAGTAAAAGCTGAGTTCAAGCCCTCCAACCTGCACTAAGAAGAGTCGCCCTCACCTATAGTATTTCCGCTTACTCCGCGAAGTATTGCACCTGCCTTGGCAATCTAAGGTCGGACACGTCCAACCGCACATACGCAAGCTGTTAAAAATAGTGGAAACAAGTGGAAAAATCATTTCTTCAAAATGAAAGGGGGATATAGGGATGGCTTGAAGCACCAAAAAGGAACAAACAAGGGGTCATTACACAGCAAAGTTGCACAAAGCTACATGACCACCATCCCTATATCTTTGTTTTATTGTTTATAAGCAAAGTTAATATCAAACAATATCAAACACAAAGATATAGGGATGGTATCATGTAGCTTTGTGCAACTTGCTGTGTAATGACCCCTTGTTTGTTCCTTTTTGGTGCTTCAAGCCATCCCTATATCCCCCTTTCATTTTGAAGAAATGATTTTTCCACTTGTATATATTATAGTCACAGTCGTAGTATTCAGTATGACATACGACGTTAAAGGTGTTTCTTGCCCTGCAGGTGTCATATGAGTGGTTTACTTATTGTTCCTCCTCTGGTCTCTGGTGGAGGTCCACTCTCAGACTGCTCCTTATGTCTCCTTCAATGGCACTACTCTGGCCAGCCATTCCTATGTGGACCTCAGTCAAGTTGGGAATGATCTCAGTGGTAGTGACAGAGTTCAGTGTCATACTGACCTTAGCACATGCTGTCGTAGTGCTCAGGGTAATCATCGTGGAGACTGGTATTTCCCTAATGGAGTTACACTGCCATTCTCTAATAGTGTTGATGATATTATCTATGAGCAACGTGATGCTCAGAGAGTTGACCTACGTCGTAGAGACAATGCTAACTCACCAACTGGGCATCTATCGCTGTGATATTCCAACTGTTGCTGTCCACGATAATGATGACGTCTCAGTGAGAGACAGAGTCTATGTGGGACTGTATACTGCCAGTGGAGGTAAATGTAATTATGGTTAAGTCTTTTGTCTCCAACATTATCCATCCTCGGGCAGCAAGTTTACGTTTTAGTGCAGTTTTTCCATATTGGAATATCTAACTAGCATTTTTGTTTGTACATCTTGTCTTCTTTAACCCTCCTCTTCCGATGTTTGCCCCAACTTTATATAAAAACAGATTAACCCATAATATGCTTGGAAACACTCTTGTTTTTTTTACAGGTCTCATCTCAATATCTGGAGGTTTGATGTTTGACTCCGACCAAGGGTACCCCTCACCTGTATCTCCACTGGTGGACCTGCTACCACTATCACTTGGACCAGAGAGACTCCCACCACTGTCACCCAAGGACACCAGACTGTGGTTGAATGACCCAGTGACTGCACAGTACACACACACTCTGACTGTGACTACTGCAGGAGAGTACACGTGTATTGTGGCTAACAACAAGCCATCCTCTGCTTCAGCTAGTATCACCCTACAAGGTGAATTGGAAACAGTGTAGTGGGACCTTAGGTCTCCTGTGCCCATACCATTTCGAAGGGGAGAAAAACAGTCTGGTAGTTTGAGTGGGACATGCAGAGACGCTGAATTTTGTAAGAAGCTGCAACTGCATGTGAAGTCCTTTAAGTTAATTTTCAGTGGCTAATTGGATGTGCTTGCTTTCCTTTCACAGATTCTAAATACCCCCCATTACAATTTCCCTCGCTGAGAATTGTCTAGTTACAAAATTGTCAAGGAGAAAAGTTGTATATATGAAAATTTGTTCTCTATATGTCCGTACATATTTGGATGAATTTTACCTCTTCCAAATTCAGCTGTATATTTTTTCTGTGCAGTTGCTTCACCACCAACTAATGTGACAGCAGTCCAAGACAGTCCCACCAGTATCACAGTTGGGTGGACTCCTTCTGTCAATGCCAGTGGCTACAGGATCCACTATAACAGTAGTGGAGGCAGCAGTGGTAGTGAGACAGTCAGTGGTGGAGATACCAACAGCTACACTCTGACTGGTCTTACCAATGGAGACACCTACACCATATCCATTGTGGCCACATTAAACTTCTCCAGTGACCCTGTTACTGCTCAAGGTGCTGTACATCTAGGTAAGTAACAGTGTTGATGTTGGTCTTTTTTAAAACGTTTTTCTTGCAGTTCCTGGAAAGCCAGCCTTTGTCAGTGGACATCAACCGACACTCCATCTCCCTCTCATGGAGTGTTCCCGGTGGTCTCGGTGGTGGCCAGCTACCAGCTGGGAGTGGTCCTATGACAAGTGTTCCGATGATCCAGTAGGAAACACTACTACATCAACACTAGCTCCCCATGTACATCTCACCTTGTCAGATCTGAGACCAGGCACAAACTAGACCATCTCTGTGTCGGCCAGCAATTCAGGTGGAGAATGAGCCGCGAATAGTCCTCGTGGATACTAAGGAAGCTAGTAGTTCTTATGCAATTGTG